GGATGGGGGAGAGAGGGATGGAAGGAGGAAGAAATGGAGAGAGGGAGGGAGGGAGGGAGAGAGAGAGAGAGAAGAAAGCATAGCATAGCAATTCACCCCAACAAATTGGTCGTCGCGACGGGACAAGTGTGTGGAACGGATCGTCGAGATGCTATGGTAAAATTATAAAAGACATCCTTCCTTTCTCTGTCTCTTTCTCGAATATTAAAGATATAGAATTGATATTGTAGGAGCAGGATAATTCTTATGATTACAAAACGTTAGTGTGGGGGTTAGGGAATTATTAATTAAAATTCAAAAAACAGGGACAAAGGGAGGGACAAAGAGAGGGAGGGAGAGAGAGAGAGGGAGAGAGCAATTAGAAATGATGAAACCTGCATACGTATATACAGTATACAATTTGCAGCCTAACGTCGTGACGAATAGAAAAATTGCAAGTACCTCTAGCCCAAACGATGATGTTGCCGTTGCTGTCGCCAGTCAGAACATCGCCGTTTTGATTGAAGGCGACGCAAGTGACATACCTGGGCTTGTCCCTGCTCTCGAAGATGCCCATACGCTTGTACAGCATACCGCCATTGTCCAAGGACCAGAAGGACACGTGTCCTTTGCCGCAAGACACGATCTGGTTCCGTTCCAGCGGATGCCACTCGGCGCAAACTACCGTGTCGACAGAGCACTGCAATAGACAGTCATCAGCCGTTAAATGACTTGCTTCCGGTCCGAGGCCGTGTGTGCGTTATTACGACAGCCGGAATCTATGCAAATTTCACGATTGCTCCCGCGACACAGTGCGCCGGTATGACGCGGGAGTTTTTTAATTGCCACGATCGTCACACGTCGCTCCGTCGCGCACAATATACCTTCGTCTCGGTGACTTTGGTGCCGCGGTCGCTCTTCTGCCAGTCCCAAATCGATATATTGTGATCGGCGGTCTCGTCGATGGCGCACAGATAATTTCCGCCGTCGGCTTTGGAGAATGACAGACAGCAAATAGAGCCGTCGAATTCACCGTTGCCAATTACGCTCAGGGTCGTCAGGCTTACGGAGTTCCATATTCTGATGTGCGGCTGAAATTCAGAGAGTCACTATCTAAATGCGCTCATTTTTTGGTTGTAATTTATTACGTGTTTGCGGTGCGCAAATGATTCACGCGCCACTTTAATCTGTGTTGAAATTCCGTTCTTTTCGTCCCTGAACTGAGAAAGAAAAGCATTTCGACAAAACCGGCGGTTATCCACCTTCAAAGGAATATTGTATCAAACAAATTATGCGTTAGTGCAACAATAAGTTGTGTTGATACAGTTACTGACTATATCACGATTATTGAATCAATTAATATATACATATATATTTTTTTTGCTTAAACGAACAAAATTTGTTTAAGCAAATATTAGTCGAGTTGTTGTGATAAGTTTTATATATATATTTTTTTTTCATAAATATAATATATATATTAATATATATTTTATATATAAGATACTTTATATATAATATCTTATATATAAGATACTTTATATATAATAAGAGCAAATAAGAGGGAAAATAAGAGCCAATCGTAGGATTTTAGTTTGCGTGATTAATTCAATTTTTCGGGAGAATAATAATGCTTCGCGATATATCGCACATATCTTATATATAAGATATTTTATATATTTTATATATTTTATATATATTAATTCTTTGTTAACTAATTAAAAAAAATAGGAATAGAGGGTCAAGCGATGTTAAGATTCGAACGTAAAGATCAGGGAAAATTTTGATGCGTGCGATATATCGCAAGACATTATTATTTTCCTGAAAAATTGAATAATTAATCACGCAATCTAAAATTGCGATTAGCTCTTATTTTCCTATAATATACTTTATATATAACTCATTACAACAACTATGTAACTAGTTCAATCGACTAAACATTTGTTGAATAAACAAATTTTGTTTGTTTAGCAAAATCTTAACTCAATCATTTTTTCAACGTATTGAAATTGATTTCTTATGCAAATTCACGAAATATAATTGTCTTGAACTGAATTAAAGTATATTGATTGGCAAATAAGAGCAGGCAAATAATCGCAGGATTTTAGTGCGTGATTAATTATTCAATTTTTCGGGAAGATAATAATGTCTTGCGATATATCGCACGCAGGATTTTCCCTGATCTTTATGTACGAATTTTAACATCGTTTGGCCAAACCTTTGTCCCTGTTTTTTGAATTTTAATTAATAATTCCCTAACCCCCACACTAACGTTTTGTAATCATAAGAATTGTCCTGCTCCTACAATATCAATTCTATCAATATCAATTCTTATCTTTAATATTCGAGAAAGAGACAGAGAAAGGAAGGGTATGTCTTTTATAATTTTACCATAGCATCTCGACGATCCGTTCCACACACTTGTCCCGTCGCGACGACCAATTTGTTGGGGTGGATCGCTATGCTACGATAAAGAGAAAGAAACGTGTCACATTAAATTAGTATTTTATCAACTAAATTAGATTTCTGCAATTCTTCACTTCATGAGCGATGAATTGTAGAAAGACTTGATTTCTTCGCAGCGTTTCGCGAAAGAGCTCGGGCGAAACGACCTTGTTGGTATCTCTCATCAAGACAAAGAGAGAATCAGATATATATCAATTTACTCGCGGTCTCTCCGCGAGAACGAAGCGCGTCCTTGCGAAACCCACCACTTGACGTCGTCCGTGTGGCCCAGGTAATGCCTCTGGCTGTGCTCCTCCATGTTGTACAGAACGACGGCAGCCGCGACGAAGTATACGATCTCGCCGGTCGGCAGCAGGTGTAAATTACTACGGCAGTCTCGGCCCCGGTATCCGTAGACCCAGTCGAGCTTCAATTTGCTCTGTGGTGGCGTGCTGACTTTATGAAGATCGTAGGATTCCATCATAGGCGTGGGTACGTAAAGGACGACCGGTCGGCCGCGCAGGTACATGCGGACGGTGCCTTCCTCCTCGTTGTACTGCATGTCTCTGGTGCTGCGGAGAAATGGTCCGTTTACGTTCGTCTCGCCTCATTTCACTTCACTCGTCTGGCTTCACCGCGGAATCGTTATTGTCTTCGCGTTTCAATCGCGCGCGCGTTCATAAGCCCTAACTGGAACTCTATTAGACCAAAGTTAATTTCAATCAGACAAAATTTGTTACTCTTCAGATTTACCGAAAGGCAATATTTGTCGCTGCCTATTTATAGACGGTATCTAGCAACTTATTCGCTATCTGCCGTGAGGCGAACGTTCAATTAATTTCTAATCTTCTTAATTCTCGATATATTATCAGGATTCATTGGACTTAGATTTGAATTTTTTTCTTCTGAGCAGTTCTGATTGTTTCTTAAGATTGATATGTTGATATTTTTATATTCTTTCTTATTTTTCTAAAAAAGTAAGGGAAAAAATCGAGTTGCGCGCGAGCGCGTGTTTTTTCGAATAGAATAAATAAATGCTTTAATGAACACGAACGATATGATATAGCGAGAATTAAAATAATTCCCAACTTCGTTCATGTTGAACTCGGTGATTCCAGGATATTCCGCAGAAAATCCGCTCAATCGAGATTGTTTCAAATGAAATTTCCTCACGTGTCGTTGCAAATCGATAATAGCGACGCCTCGTTTGTCGTGCGGAAATTCTCATTCAGCGAGTTTTATTCGTACAAATCCACCGACCGGCGCACTCTACGATCGCGTTGCTCGCACTACACTGACGGAATTCGCCGGACTTTTCGCGTCGATGAGGTCTGGTAACCGCGACGAGTGACTCACGCGAGCAACGAGCTCGGCTTTATTACTCCGCGAAGCGTGTTGTGCGCTCTATTACGTCACTTTGCATTCTTTTTTTTTTAGCCTCTTCGATATCACGGTGTCTACTCCCAGTCTCGGGTACGATCAAGGTCCTCTCTCGATTGGGAACAAGGTGGATCGTATCGTAAAGCCGTGAGTAAACAACGCTCTCTCTTTCTCTCTCTCTCTCTCTTTCTCTCTCTCTTTCTCTCTACACGAATTTCAGGTCTTTCCAGATTCGTCTTTTAATTGTGGGAGAACGTAAGTCACTATGTGGCTTTCTTGATTTATATTCTAATAATTTTGTTGAAAGTTCTGCTCGCAACAGCGTGTGTATTCGAGGAAAAAGTGTTAAATTATCTGCACTGAGAAAGTGTCTTTAACATTTGTAACCATAACTGTACACAATAGACTCTGGACTACTAAAAATATAGTAAAATTCAGAAGAATTCATATGAAAAAAAGAAACTGTAAATTCCTTTCGTGTAGTGTTATTGATAGTAACTTTACAGTATATTTTACATGTGTATGACTAATTAAAAAAAAACTACTTTTCTTCTACTTGGAGCAACAAGAATCTGTTAGGTCAAGCAAGAATGATTGTAACTTCAAACGGGATTAACAAATGTTCTTATCAGTTTAGAGCTGCAGGAGAAAGTCAAAGTTCTCACGTTATCATCTGATAAAAATCGTTTTGATATTAGAGAGCGAGAGAGAGAGAGAGAGAGAGAGAGAGAGAGAGAGAGAGAGAGAGAGAGA